TTTGAAGAGTCCTGTGGGAGGCTCCATATCTATTCTGAACTTAGCAGAAGTTGTGAGCAGCAGCATTGAGACACCAAGCTATGGAACAAGTGCTAGCAATTATTTCCAGGCCCTCTGTCGGCAACCTGTACCGGGTCCTCTTGCTGGTGGAAGTGTTAGCACCAAGGAGTTGAACAAATGGATTGATGAGAGAATAACAAATCTCAAGTCTGCTGACATGAATCCTGGAAGATCTGAGGTTTTGATTTTACTTCTCTCGCTACTGAAAATAGCTTGTCAGTATTATGGCAAACTTCGATCTCCTTACAGCACAGATGCTGCATTAAAGGTACGTAGTTTATGTTTTAAGCTAAACATTTATTGATCGATCTCTGTCTGATAAATAGAATTACCCGAATTACTTCCTCCTACGTTCCAACTCTCTACCTGAAATCCTTGCTCATTTCTTGTTGTACGTAACTGACACTGTATATGAAGTGTAAGTTATCTGAAGATATAAGATGTAAACAAGTGTAATTTTTTCCTTTACTCGTATTGAAATTGCCTCTTGTGCTCATGCCGAGCAGTGCTTTATATAATAAACTTGCGACAGAATTAATTCTCTAAAGAATCTGAATACATTGAATGTTCCCTGAATTGTAACGATTATAGCTATTGCCTATCGTAATAAATTTCCCCGTACCTGCAACGATTGAAGTGTTTGATTGAGATATTTGTGCAAACTGTTGTGATTTTCTGGAAGTTCGGTGATTGCATATTTGTTAACTGGCTCTATGCATCCTGGATAAATCTGGATTTCTCCATTATTCACATTTGTTATTCCAACAGGAAAGTGATTCTCCAGAGTCAGCGGTTGCCAGACTGTTTGCATCTGCTAGAAGTGATTCACGTTTTAGTCAATATGGTTCTGCTGCTCAATGCTTGCAGCAACTGCCATCTGAAGCACAAATGCGGGTACAATATTGTTCTCCGTGTTATTATTATTATTATTATTATAATTATTATTATTATTATTATTATTATTATTATTATTATTATTATTATTATTATTATTATTATTATTATTATTATTATTATTATTATTATTGTTATTGTTATTGTTATTGTTATTGTTATTGTTATTGTTATTGTTATTGTTGTTGTTGGATTGCTTATGGCAAGTATCCAGCACTTAAAAAATATGAACTCATGTCTCAGGCCACTGCTGCCGAGGTTCAAAAACTTCTGGTCTCTGGAAGAAAGCAAGAGGCTTTGCAATTTGCGCAGGAGGGCCAGTTGTGGGGTCCTGCCCTTGTTCTTGCTGCACAACTTGGTGATCAAGTTAGTCACTTCTGAATGCCTCATCTCGTCAATTTTATTAGAAACTAAATTAGATTGTCATGTGTCCTATTATTAATTAATTTATTTTATTTTGCTTTGGTAAATATCTGATGCAGTTCTATGCCGAGACTGTGAAACATATGGCACTTAAGCAGTTGGTAGCAGGATCACCTTTGAGAACCTTATGCCTGCTAATTGCTGGTCAACCAGCTGATGTATTTTCAACGGATAGCTCAGATGTTAGTAGCATGACTGGTGCCGTACCTATGTCTCAGCAACCAGTGCAGGTACGACAATTGAGTAAGCAAAATTGCACCCTTCCATACTTATAAGAAAGGTTTGATAAATATGTGGTGTTGTATATGTCAAAATATGTATGTGTAAATAATATCCCTTGATTTTACCTCATTAATTGACAATAGGTTTATCTCAACTTTAATTAATCTTGAGGTCCTGTGTTTGTTAAAATGTTTCACAGTTTGGAGCCAAAGGCATGTTGGATGAATGGGAAGAGAACTTGGCAGTGATAACTGCAAATAGGACTAAGGATGATGAACTAGTGCTACTTCATCTTGGAGACTGTTTGTATAAGGAAAGAAGTGATGTATGTTCTGGTTATTCTCCTTTTTCTTGTGCTTGTATTTGTTTTCTTTTACATGAGAGTTCCTTCAATAGTTCAATTTCAATAATTGTAAGTTCTTAGTGCTCAAACTAATGGGTTCGCAGATGATGGCTGCTCACATATGCTATTTGGTTGCTGAAGCCAGTTTTGAGCCATACTCGGACAGTGCGAGATTGTGTCTTATTGGTGCAGATCACTGGAAATTCCCACGGTCATATGCAAGTCCAGAAGCCATTCAGGTCTGGCCCAATCGTCATTTATTCAACAATCATCCTTTCTGTTAGTTCTCAGACTATCAAATTCACTTCCTAGGGCTTTGGGCAGTCACTTCGATAGGAATTCTACATAATTAAATTATATCACGGGAAACTAAAGGACAATAATAGTTCAAAAACATGTAATGGACTTAAAATGTTCACACTCGTTCATTATGGATCTAGCTACCCCTTCCTATTTGTTGGGAGTTTAGTAATACCCAATTAACATTCTCTGTATCGATTAGAGTGCAATTTTAAATATTAATCCTCCAAGATTAATAACACACAGTGATTTTGTAACAAGTGCTATGCCTTTGTGTATGCAAGTGGTTGCTGTACCCACCAAGTAGAAAGTTGTAAGAATATTATGTGTTAATACTGTTATAGTCTTGTTTCTCCATGGATTAGACTCAAGCCTATTGTTATTCTTGGTATCTTCTAAAGTCTGATTGCTATGACTGTTTCGATTTATGAAATGGTATGCATATGTGTATGTTTGACCCTTGCATATTTTCACAGAGGACGGAGATATATGAGTACTCAAAAACGCTTGGAAACTCGCAGTTTGTCCTACTCCCTTTCCAACCATATAAATTTGTATACGCGCACATGTTGGCAGAAGTTGGGAGACTATCTGAGGCGTTGAAGTACTACTCTTTCACCTCAATTATATCGTACAAGTTGTCATTATTGTCTTAGCATAATTTTTTGATGTAGGTACTGTCAAGCAGTATTAAGATCACTCAAAACTGGTCGATCTCCGGAAGTTGAGACGTTGAGACAGTTAGTCTCATCTCTGGAAGAAAGGATCAAAGCTCACCAGCAGGTATTTTCCTCTTCTGTTTGCTGCTTTGCCTTGTTGAATTCCAGATTCCTATAACCATAACTTCTTGTTATCCTTATAAATCCTAGATTCCTGCAACCCTAACTGTAATTACTCATCATGTAGGGTGGGTTCTCGGCTAATTTAGCTCCGAAGGAATTTATCGGTAAACTGCTCAACCTCTTCGATAGTACTGCACATCGTGTTGTTGGGTCCCTGCCACCAGCTGCACCAACCACAAGTGGCGCTGTACATAGTAAAGAGAACAATTACCAATTGGTTGGATCTAGAGTATCATCTAGTCAGTCAACAATGGCTATGTCTTCGTTAACACCTTCTCAATCAATGGAGCCTATAAGTGAGTGGGCAGCGACTAGCAACAGAATGGTTATGCATACGAGAAGTGTTTCTGAACCTAACTTTGGAAGAAGTCCAGAGGTTTGTTTCGACTAGATGTTTTCTTTGCTCCTATGTGTTGCTACTTGTTTTGTATGTTACTTAAAAGATAAATGGAGTATTCTCAATTCAAGTAGGGTCAGGCTGATGGGTTGAAGGATGCAACTTCCGGTGGTGTGCAAGACAAAGCTTCAGCTGGCAGGACATCTCGCTTTGGCCGGTTTGGTTTTGGATCTCAGCTGTTGCAGAAGACTGTTGGTTTGGTACTCAAACCACGTCAAGGCCGCCAGGTAATATGAATAGTTTCCGTGTTTGACAGTGATCCTTTGTAATTTGTTTATGAGACTTATAGCTTGGGTTTTAACTGTTTTACTGTTTTCTAGGCAAAACTGGGTGACACAAATAAGTTCTATTATGATGAGAAACTCAAGAGATGGGTTGAGGAAGGTGCTGAACCACCGGCACCAGAAGCAGCTCTTCCACCACCACCGACAACTTCAGTTTTTCAGAATGGAACATCAGAATACAACTTAAAGAGTGCAATGCGAAATGAAGATTCTCTTAACAATGGAAGTCCAGAATTCGAAACCCCAAGTGCTATGGATAACAGTCCTGGAATGCCACCACTTCCCCCGACGACCAATCAGTACTCGGCACGTGGAAGGATGGGTGTTCGGTCCAGGTAAATTTCCAAAAAAAAAAAAGAAAAAAAAACTTTTTTGTTATATTTACTAGATCATCTATCTTTCTGGTGGAGTGAAAACAGATTTTGTTATATAATGATGCTCGAGTATGAAAGATTTCATTGGTTTTTGACTTCTTTGAATTGAGATGTGTCATTTGTTTACATTTTTGTACCTTTTACTACAATAATAATTTCTATTGGTCATGAGACTCAGTAATGTAACTAGGGAACTTGTTAACATCAGAACCCGTTCAGTCATCCTTTCAGACCGTTCATTTGACTTAATAATCATATTACAGACGAAGCTTATGTTTTTGATAGATGAATTGGTTTGAATAATATCTTTTCTGCATTCTTACGGCTCAGGTACGTGGATACCTTCAACAAGGGCGGTGTTGGAAATGCAACAAGTTCGTTCCTATCGCCACCTGTTTCGTCCGTTAAACCCGCAAGTGGACCCAACACAAGATTCTTTGTGCCCGCACCAGTATCTCATGTCGAGCAGCCGGTCGATACTCCCACAATTAGCGAACATAATGGTTTATCTACCACTTACGAAGATCCATCTACTGCTCCTAACAACCCATCCTCATTTCAGTCCCGAGCTCCTCCATCGACAGTGAACATGCCAAGATATGCGAGCATGAATAGCATCTCAAACAAAGGGGCAGGTGACAATGGCTCGTTTTCTGTACATTCACGGCGCACTGCATCTTGGAGTGGAAGCTTGAATGATTCTTTCAGCCCTCCACCGCCAGCTGAAGGAAAACCTATGCAACCCTCGTCCTTTATGCCAAGTGACCCTTCTTTAAGGCACTCGTCAAAAATTGGTGGAAGTTTTGAAGACGAACTACATGAAGTAGAGTTTTGAATATCCTGTTGGGTGTATATAGTCGATATATCTTGTCATATGGCCATAATCCTCTACTGAAGTCCCACAAATTGCTTGCAGGGAGAGAGATGAGCTCGATTTTTATCGCCTTTAGTTTTTTTTGTCCCATCTCTCTCTCTCTCTCTCTATCTCTCTCTCTCTCTCTCTCTCTCTTCCTTTCTAGTTTCTACTGTGTTGTTTATTAGTTTACTGTACCCTTTTATACATACATGTCTCGCTGATCGTTCAAATGAGGAACAGTATGAAGTGGTAGCTCAAAATTGTACAGCTCATATCTGTATTTATTGGTGAACAAGTTGGAACATTGTTAACGAGACAGTGACAAATACATTTTGGTTAATAAAGCAGCAGCATTTGAAACTTGCCAATGTTTGGGAGTATGAGAATTTGTGCGAAGATCTGGGCTTTCATATCATTGTTAAAAGATAAGCACTTTATAAGTGAAAAATTGTAGGCAAAATTGCATCAAAATACACCACATTTTAACTTTTTGCAATTTAATCACCACCTTTCAAAGTTTGCAACTAAGTACACCAGCTTTAGACATTTAGCAAATCGAAGCATGCCAAACGAAAACCGGCACCGGCTTTCTTACGTGGCAATGTCTGAAACTCACGTGGAAATCGGAAACACACGTGGAAGTCCAAAAATACCAAATAAAAAATTAAAATGCCACAAAATCAGTCTACGTGGCAGATTTGCTAAAATAAAATCAAAATTAAGTAGCTTTTCAGCCCTAAATTCAAAATCAGTCGAACAACTATGAACCCTAATTTGAAAAAATGTCGATCAATTCAAAATGTTCTCTTGTGGTCAAAATAATTCACCTCCAAAATAGTCTACAGAACCATCAAGATTTATATATCACCCCTCATGGTTCGAATTGTTCGACAATTTTTCAATTTAGGGTTCTTAGTTGTTCGACTGATTTTGAATATAGGGCTGAGGAGCTACTTAATTTTGATTTTATTTCAGCAAATCTGCCAGGTAAACTGATTTTGTGGCATTTCTATTTTTGTGTGTTATTTTTGGACTTCCACGTGTGTTTTCGATTTTCACGTGAGTTTTCGACGATACCAGGTAAGAAAGCAGGTGCCGGTTTCCGTTTGACATGCTTCGATTTGCCAAATGTCTAAAGCTAGTGTACTTAGTTGCAAACTTTGAAAGGTGGTGATTAAATTGCAAAAAGTTATAAGGTGGTGCATTTTGATGCAATTTTGCCAAAATTGTATATGAAGTTGATCCACGTTCATTCGTGTTCTTGACTTCACGCTAATGCATGTACAGACCCAAAACACCGTCTAACTAAAACAAAGAATCTATAATCCATGCTGAGTAACAGTATATATAGTTCATATATAACTATAACCTTTACGTAGTAAAACAAATCTACTAATATATATATTATATCATCAAAATTCTGCAGACGATGCAATCCCCATCTGCAGCCACCCTCCCCCGTACTTCACGTCTCGTAAATCACTCAGCCTCCTCACTTTATTCCTCTCCAATCCATTCGGACCCTTGTTTTCCGGTGCAGCCGGAAGATTGAGGTTGAGGTCCAGCTGGCGGTCACGATCCGGAGCATGCAGGAACACCGTCTTATGGCGGTCATCATCATCGTCATCATCGTCATACTGAAAACTCGTGACGAAAGCATTGTCTGCCGAGTTCGTCGTCAGCCAGTGGCTTCTCTTGTGCCCTCCCAGGGCCTGCCCGGAGGTGAAAACCCGGCGGCAGACCGAACACTCGTGCATCTTCTCCGTCCTCTTAGCGGGCCGGGCCACACGGAGGAAACCGTCTTCGACCCGGCCCGAATCTCCGCCGGATTCGGGCCGGGCCGCGAAACAGCCCTTGACCTTCTTGTGGCTCGCCCGGTGGCCGCCGAGCGCCTGGTGGGAAGCGAATATTTTCTTGCACGCCTTGCATTGGAAGGCGGGCCCTTTCTTGCCCGGCTGGTGGTTGGAGAGCATGACGAGGCAGCTGGCAAGATCCTCCTCCTCTTCGTTATCCGAGACTAACTCGTTATTGAGCGGGCTTGCTCGAGGCCCTTTGGCCCGAAGAAAGTACGAGTGCTTAGTGATCTGTTGCTCACAGTTCTGATCTCCCATTTCACACTCACCAACTATTACTGAAGTGTAGAGGTTTTTGTTAAGATGCAGATTGGTTACATTATATAGAGTATGTTGTGTGGTAGTACTGAGTCAAGTAATGGTTTTCTATTTTTCTTTTCATTTTCATTTTTTTTTTTTTTTT